CCCTTTTTTTCTTTAGCCCCACGTTCGGGCGCCAATGTATCATCCCTGGCTGTCCTGGAACTCACTCTGTAGACCAGGTTGGCCTCGAACTCACAGAGATCCGCCTGCCTCGGTCTTCCGAGTGTTGGAATAAAAGGTGTGGGTTACTAAGCCAGGCTTTTATGCATTATTTATACCCACACAGATTCAGCCCATCAGGGCCGGCCTAGCTCTATAGCAGGAGGGCTTCAGTCTTGGCAGATTGCTCTTCAGAGGAAGAAAACTAGACTCTGGCCGGCTTAGCCAGCTCCTAGATGCTCTTGGACAAAGAGTAGACCCTTGGGAGGTTTGCCATGCTCGAGCCTCCAGGACTTGACCTGCAGCTGCAGAGAGGGGACAGGACCAGGTGCGGGGGTGGGAGTGGGGATGAGGGTGGAGGGGGGTGGTATGGGGAGGGGGGGTTGGGGGAGCAGACGGATCGGAAACGACTCTTTCCTATCTCAGCCTCCAGAGTCCATGCTTTGGCTGTAGATGGAAATTCATTCCTGCAACTGTCTCCAACTTCAGACACCCGGCCAGCGACTTTTGACCCTAGCCTCTGACACCCGCCTTAACTTCATTAGTGACCTGCTGTCTGCAGACTTAAATGCAAGGTTGACACCCCAAAGCTTTCCTAGAGTGTTCGGCTGTCACCTGCAGCCTGCCGAGGGCACAGAGCAGAGCCAGCCTCTCAGTCTCGATTCCTACTTTTCCTGTTTGAATTGGTCTTGCGTGGCAATTAAGTTTCCCTTCGGTATACACCCACTCCATTCTTGTGGAGAGCAAGGCAAGAGCCCATAGGAGAGCAGACTGTCTCACTAGTGTTGGGGATACCTCCTAACCAGCCCATCGGGCCTCTTAACATCTTGTGTAGCAGTTTCCTCCGAATTCAAACACCGGTTCCTGGAAAAAGAGTCTCACAGACTTAGGCTCGTGACAGATCCAAGACCCAAGGTTATAAAAGCAGTCAACAGCTGCGGTGGAGAAGACCGTGCAGCGCAGTGCCCACAGACAAGCCGGGAGCGCGGGGATGGAGCTCGAGGATGCAGCTTCCGGGAGATGTCACTCGTGCTGGGGTGACTTTTAGGCGATTCAACTGTCATTGTGTCACTCATAAACTACCCTCACCCGTGCTTCCAGGAAGTAAGCCGGATACACTCAGTGCTCCGCTCAGTTAGTGGAGTCCTCTTTGTCCGCAGTGAACCGATGTTTCGTGCGCCATGTGTAACCACCAGTCTGTTTTCCACTAGACGCTCCACTCTTCCGTCTTACATGTCTGCAGCCTTGTCTCCTGTCTCCTAGCACTTTGCCTAATACATTAGGTCCCTAATCCATGTTAATTCTACCAAGGAATGAACTGAAACAAAGATGCCTAATGGCCGGCTGACAGGTATTATATTTTTTTTCTTTTGGTGTGTTTTTTTTTTTCCTTTTGAGACAGGGTTTCTCTGTGTAGCCTTGTGTGTCTTGGATCTCTTTCTGTATACCAGGCTGGCCTCAAACTCGGAGATTGCCTGCCTCTCCTCTGCCTGAATGCTGGAATTAAGGTTGGGACACCTGTGGATAAATTCTTTATACACACACACACACACACACACACACACACACATGAATGAGTATTTTACATGCGTATCTGTATGCCAGAAGGCATTAGATCCCATTACAGATGGCTCACAACCATGGTGATGAGCTACAATAGGTTGCTGGGAACTGAACTCAGGACCTCTGGAAGAGCTCTGAATACATTTGCTGTGGAACCAGGACTGAGGATAGGCAAGGGTACAGTTTCAGGCACCACCTCCTTTTTCCATTTCATCTGATGCATAGGCCTCTTCACCTTTGGTGGTTGTTTTAAAGAAATGTGAGTGCCTGAATGTATGCATGTGTACCACTTGTGCCTGGTGCCCAGGGAGGCCAGAAGGCGTCTGAACCCCTGGAACTGGAGTTACAGACAGTTGTGAGCTGCCATATAGATGCAGGAAATGGAACCCAGGTCCTCTGCAGGGGCAGTCAGTGCGCTTAACTGCCGAGCCACCTCTCCCACTCTGGCCTCCTCACCTTTACTGTGTTCACTCAGGGTATGCAAACGGCATCATCTGATCACCCCAGAACGGTTAAGTCAGGAAAGACAGTTAGGAGACATTCTTTTTTTCAGGGGGGTGTGGGTGGCGGGCAGAGGGGGGATTGAGACAGGATTTCTGTGTAGCCATGGCTGTCCTGGAACTCACTCTGTAGACCAGGCTGGCCTTGAATTCGGGGATCAGGCTGCTTCTGCCTCTGAAGCGCTGGGATTAAAGGTATTAAAGGCATTCACCAAAAACCAGAGGAAAGACATGTTAAATAACTGTTCCTTAAGGTTCAATAAGAGTACTCAAAGCAGGATTATGAGTTCATCTCGACCCACTTATAATAATGGTCCAGAGGTTACAGAATTAATGAAATTTACGTTAGCACAGAATGAAATAAAAGCTTTCTGTGTGACCTTTTCTGCCAAACTCCATTCAATTGTTGTAGTAAATCCACTTGAAGAAATGATGTGTTTAACTGTCTGTAGCTCCTGGTCTATGTAGAAATGAAGCCTATACACGGGGGATGAAGGGAGCCTGAATCCCTATGGGAAAATGGAACCAAACAATTATTGTGGCCCTGAACTGCCTTTGGACTTCTCTATACAAGACAACTGAACTAACTAATTGAATTAACTAATTGTTAATTTGGTTATCAACTGCCAAGTACATTCATTGTTTCCCATACTCATGTATCAAGAACAATCACTTTGAGAACACTGACTTCCTTGCTTGAGGAATACCAATCCATTGCAGATGGGTTAGATGGCTCAGACCCTATAATCCCAGACAGAGGCTGAGGTGGGAAGGTTGCCAACCTGAACTACAGATTGAGGTGTTAAAAATCATAAAAACAAGACAGACGTCACATTTAAAATAATTACTGGCTGGGGATAAAGTTTAGAGATGGATTACCTTTCGTGTATAAAGCCCTGAGTTCAATCCCCAGTACTAAAAAAACTGATTAGAAGTCAACTTGCTTTAAATACTTCCAACCCTTAGCTCAACGAGTTCTTTTTTTTTTTAAGTGTTTATTTTATTTTATATGTATGGGCATTTTGTCTGCATACCACATGTGTGCCTGCCAGAAGAGGGCCAAAGCCCCTGGAACTGGAATTTCAGATGGGAAGTGGACCTGGGTCCTCTGCAAGAACAGCCAGGACTCTTAACCGGAGCCACCTCTCCAACTCAGCTTTTTTTTTTTTTTTTTTTTTGGTTTTTCGAGACAGAGTTTCTCTGTGTAGCTTTTGGAGCCTGGCCTCGAACTCACTCTGTAGACCAGGCTGGCCTCAAACTCACAGAGATCCGCCTGAGTCTGCCTCCCAGTGCTGGGATTAAAGATGTGGGCCACAACCGCCCTTCAATGAATTCTTAACATATTCACATCTATAGTTTTTAATCTGAATACCTGACAAATCTTATTTTCTTATAATCACTACTTTGAGCGTGTTTATGAGACTGGTTTTACTATTTACTTTTTAGTGTTAGGTGCTTGTTTTTCCTACAACTTTAAAGACTTTTTTCCCAAAAAAAAAATTTATCAATTTTCCTCCCACACCTTGTGTGTTGAGGCTGGAGGACAATCTGTAGGAGCTGACTGTTTTTCAGACCTGAGGACTGAACTCAGGCTATCAGGCTTGGCAGCAAGTTCCTTGACCCGCTGAGCCATCTTGATGGCTCTCCTCTAAGCTTTCCTTTTCTCATGCAGTCCATCCCCACCCTGGTCTTGAACTAGCTATGAAGCTAATCATGACTTTCAAGTCCTGAGCCTCCTGTCTCCACTTTTTTTTTTTTTTTTTTTTGGTTTTTCAAGACAGGGTTTCTCTGTGAAGCTCTGACTGTTCTGGAACTCGCTCTGTAGAGCAGGCTGGCCTCGAACTCACAGAGATCCACCTGCCTCTGCCTCCCCAGTGCTGGGATTAAAGGCCTGCACCACCACCACCCGGTGTATTATTAGTCTGTTCTTCAAATAGTTAACTAAAAAGCTGAGAAAAAAAAAAAGAGAGACAAATAGTTACTGTATTTGTAATATATCTTTTTATAACGCTTTAAAGGCAAATTTTAATTTCAAACCCGTATCTTTAAAAGTCAATTAAGTTTTTGGGATCTGCACAGGGTAGGAAATTCAGGTCACATAGTTATTGTATTTTATAAACATGAGAGACGACGAACCATTGTACACAATTTAAAAGGCTACTTCCTGTCTCTGTATTGACAGTGGAACTGGAGGGTTAGCCACTGACTTTCTTTTGAGACAGTGTCCTGTAACCGTGGCTGCCTTTGCATTCACTATGCAGCAGGGAATGACCATGACTTCTGATCCTCTTGCTAACCTCCCAGGTCCTGGGATTACAGATGGCACTGCCACACTCACCTTCTCCAGGTGCTGGAGAGGGTTGGTCAGGGCTCTGCCCATTTTGGGCAAGCCCTCTCCAGTATCCTTCACATAGTTTATGACACAACAGTGAGACACTAACCAAAAAACAAAACAGAACCCAACAAGACAGTCTTTGATCAATCATTCATTTTCAAGCCCCTACATGGGAAGTGGTAGGTGAATATCTGTAGGAATACAATTTATTGTCGGCTCCTCCACTCAGAAGTAGCTGTGTAAAGAGAGAGAGAAAAGTAAATACAAATATACAGTAACGAGACATGATTAAACACAACTTTGATTTTGTCTTGGTTTTTCCAGACAGGGTTTCTATGTGTAAAAGCTCTGCCTTTCCTGGAACTCACTCTGTAGCCCAGGCTGGCCTTGAACTCATAGAGATCTGCCTGGCTCTGCCTCTGGAGTGCTGGGACTAAAGGCGTGCGCCACCACTGCCTCCTGGCGAGACACTGTTCACACAAGTACGCACACCCTGTACTCTGACCATATTCCCACCCATACCCTTCCTTTGCTTCTTCCCCAGCAGTTCTGCTTCTACTTTGACGTCACATATATAAATGATCTGACAGATGTAAAACCACCCAGCTTGGAACACAGTCGTTAAGGGTACCAATTAGAACAAACATCTCTACTCCTAGCTTAAGCATCCCCAATCCAAAATGTACAATGGAGGTTGGAGATGTAGCTCATAGGTAGAGCACATGCTGAGGACACATACAGCTCTGGGCCAATTTTAATGATATAAAGATGTGTTGCTTTGCCTGCCTAAGGCACCTGATTGGCTAAATAAAAAGCCGAATGATCAGTAGCTAAGCAGTAGAGCGACATACGGGGCTGGTGGGCAGAGAGGATAAGTAGGAGAGAAGTGAGAAGAAAGGAGAATGAGGGAGAGGCCCAGGGCCAGCCAGCTAGGCAGACATGGAGTAGGACACATAGAATGAAAGGTAAAAAGCCCTGAGGCAAAACATAGATGAAGAGAAACAGGTTAAATTAAGTTAAAAGAGCTACTGGGACAAGCATAAACTAAGGCTGAGCATTCATAACTAATAAGAAGTCTCTGTGTCATGATTTGGGAGCTGGTTGGTCCAAAAGAAAGCCTGTTACAGCCAGGCGGTGGTGGTGCACGCCTTTAGTCCCAGCACTTGGGAGGCAAAGCTAGGTGGATCTCTGTGAGTTCGGGGCCAGCCTGGTCTAGAGTGAGTTCTAGGAAAGGCACAAAGCTACACAGAGAAACCCTGTCTCAAAAAAAAAAAAAAAAAAAAAAAAAAAAAAAAAAAAAACAAAACAAAACAAAACAAAAAAACAAGCCTGTTACATTGGCATGATGCCACAAGTATAACCTTATACCTGACCTGATATGACAGGTCACAGTCAGAAGACAGGTCCATTCAAAGTATTTTAAAATTTGGCAACATGCATAACACAGACACGAAACAAAAAGGAAGTTCACATTTAGATTTGGGTCCCATTCCAAGATATCTCATAAATGTGCAAATATTCCAAAATCTGAAATGCTTCTGGTCCAAAGCGTTTCAGGTATGGGATGCGCAGTCTGCATCACTATACAATGTACAAAATATTAAAAGCAATCAATCGTTTTGGTTAAGACATAGTATGCTATTGTAATTCCAATGAAGTCTTTGCCAAGGTATAAAATAAACTATAATAGTCTTATCCTTCGAAAACCACAAAAGCTTCGTTTGCTTTTGGAAGACAGGTTTTTATGCTCTAGCCTAAGCTGGCCTCAAATGTGCAGCCATCCTCCTCCTTTAGCCTCCCTAGAACTCGATGACCAGTGTGAGCCACCGCACCAGAACTAGTCAAGGTTTTAAAAGACAGTGTATTGTCTGCAGGCAAATGTACACTGCAAATTATATAAGTAGCTCTAGGACCCACAACCTGAAAGAATTATTGGACAAGAGCTTATATATTCACATAAAATTATTATAATTCCTTAAGTATATTTTATAATCCATATTTACTACTTAAAATGAATTATCTAACTTAATTATGTAAAATACGCCTGCAATTCCAGCACTCAGGAGGCCGAGGTAAGGGAGGCTGCTATTAGCTTGAGGCCAGCCAGGGCTACATATCAAGACCACAAAACCATATCAAGATCACAAAAACAAAATACTAACAAAAAAAACTTCTTTTAGAAGTTTTACAGGTATTTCAAACTAGAAATACTGCGATAACATCAGTATGAAGTAGTCAATTTATGGACCATATGGGATTTGTAAATAATGTCTTATTAAGATATTCATGAGGTACCTGGGCCAACACAGACCTGTAACACCAGCTACTAAGAAGGCTGAGGTGGCAGATGGCAAGTTTAAGGTCTGCCTGTGCTAGAGTAAGTTCCAAGCTAGCCCGGGCAACTCTGACAGCCTATCTCAAAATAAGAAAAAGAGGGCTAGTGTACTGGTACATGTCTGTAACTTCAGCATTTGAGAGGTGGAGACAGGGGGTTCAAGATTCTCTTTGGCTATGCAATAAACTAAAAGACAGCCTGGCTCCTATACAGGAGCCCCTATATCAAAACCAGAAAATTTTGGAAAAGAAAAACAGACCGAACAGGGCTGGGTATATAGCCAAGCAGCAGACCACTTGCCTAGCATGGTAAGAACCTGGGGACTCTGTCCCTAGGACACCAAAAGAACGAAAATGATATTCAGGGGGAAATGACCTGTTTCCAAAGTTCAACTTTTGTCGGGGGCTAGTGGCACACGCCTTTAAGCCTAGCACTCGGGAGGCAGAGGCAGATGGATCTCTGTGAGTTTGAGGCCAGCCTGGTCCACAAAGTGAGTTATAGACAGCCAGGACTGTTTCATAGAGAAACCTTGTCTCAAGAAAAACAAAACAAAATTTTCAATTTTTATTACTCTTTAAATAATTAAAGGGCAAATCTGTTTTTAGTTTTTTGGTATGGGATGTAAAAACAATTATGAAAATCAGAAACTTAAAACTGCTAAGTTTAAGCTGGGCAGTGGTGGCACAGGCCTTTAATCCCAGCACTCAGGAGGCAGAGCCAGGCAGATCTCTGAATCTGAAGCCAGCAGGGTCTATAGTAAGTTCCAGACAGCCAGAGAAACAGCCAGAGAAAAAACAAACCAAACCAAAAAATCCTGCTAACTTTAAACATCAGGTCTATCCAACTTTTTTCTTCATCAAGTAACTTGTAAATTCTTACCCCTGTGTCTGTCCAGTCCACACTTAGAACTTTATCTTCATGAGCAGCTAGATCATACAGAGGAGCCTTACAGCTAAAGATGAAAATACACACGTTACATGCATTCAGGGTTTTAACACACATATGGATAATTACTAATACTTTTCTAAAGACTTTTACTGGATTTTACTACAGATTATAACAAATACTCAAGATGCAAAAACTTATTCAGAACTAGGTCCATTTTCACACTTTTATACTTTAATATATCCCAAATCATGGCTTTATATACTCTGTCCAGCCATCTGTATAATAACTCCTAAATATGTATTTCTAACCCAAACTTTTCCCTTGAGCTTGATATGTCTGTGTATCTAAATACGTGAAAGTTGATAGGCAACAGACACAATCAAATCAAAACTCAAATTTCCCTCACAAGGCTCTTTTCCTAAAAAATAAAACCAATTATGCTGTGGGACGGTCTGTATGTCAAATTGCTCTGATTGGTCAATAAATAAAACACTGGTTGGCCAGTGGCCAGGCAGGAAGTAGGTGGGACAAGGAGAGAGGAGAATTGTGGGAAGCAGAAGGCTGAGGCAGAGAGACACTGCAGCCGCCGCATGACCAGCAGCATGTGAAGACGCCGGTAAGCCACCAGCCACGTGGCAAGGTATAGATTTATGGAAATGGTTAATTTAAGATAAAAGAACAGTTAGCAAGAAGCCTGCCACGGCCATACAGTTTGTAAGCAATATAAGTCTCTGTGTTTACTTGGTTGGGTCTGAGCGGCTGTGGGACTGGCAGGTGACAAAGATTTGTCCTAACTGTGGGCAAGGCAGGAAAACTCTAGCTACACAATTATTTAATTATTCAATTATTATTTTGATTTTGTGTATGGGTGTTTTGCCTGTGTGTGTCTGTGCACCATATTCATGCAGAGGCTAGAGTTCCAGATCTGGATCCCTCCTGGAACTGGATGGTTCTAGGCCACCATGTGGGTGCTGGGAGCTGAACCTAGGTCTTCTTCCTCCAGCTCCACACTTTCCCATTTTCTCTTATCACAGTACACAGCATTACCATACACCCAATCACTTGAGCAGAAAATGTGGGCAATTTTCTTTGATTCTCATCTCCACATTTAATCCATAAGAAATTAACCTCGCCAAAGACATAAATTCAAATATACCTAGAACAAAATCACTTATCCCTGACGCTACCACCACACTCTGTGCTCCCATGGCCTGCCTCTTGGATGACAATGGTCTTTCGGCTTCTATTCCTGGTTCCTTTTTCAAACCCTCAGAGCTGTGCCGAGTCCTGCTTGGTATATTGATTACCTGCCTCACGCTCTGCCACTCTCCCCATTTACTTCAATACCGGCTTGGTTGCCCATTTACCAGTACACGATTCTCCCCATTTTATCTGTGCCTCTCTCTACCATGCATACATGCACATACCTTCAAAATGTGCGACTGGCTACTGAAATTTTGACAAAGAGAAAGTCTTGCCAAAGTGCAGCTTTACTGTTCTGCTTTGTTCATACTTACTGCTACTACCAGAAACTATGTTAATTATCATAGAAAATGTCAATGAAGACATCTAAGCCCTCTAAGATATCCTAAGATGTTTGAGGGCAGATTTAAGGTTAAAAACATACACGAATGGGTACATAGTTAAAGTCACCTCTTCTAACTCTAAGTTAATGGGTGTGTTTTAACCTGGACATTCTGTATACACTAGTATCACAGTATTAGCCTATGAATAAAAAAGATTTCTTTGGCATCTAATTATCTTTGAAGAGTTGTTTTTTTTTTTTTTTACATCTTTCTATTTTTACTGAAGTCCTGGATAGTTAAAACCTTTTCTCCTGCTTTATAAAAAGGTCAGAAAGATGGATTTTATAAGCTGTGTGGCTTTATTTTTAAAAGAGGGCTAAAAATAAGCAACAAGCACGAATAAAATCCCTTTGTTCCTGGGCTTTGTAGGTACATTTGCACGCACATGCAAAAAAAATAACATGTATGTAGAGGACAACCCTAGGTATTATTCCGCAGGAGCTGTCCACCTGTTTTCTTGTGAGACCGCTCTCTCTAGCCTGAGACTCACCAAGTAGGCTCTGCTAGCTAGCAGTCCCTGGGGATTCCCATGTTGTGTCTCCCCAGTGCTAACATTACCAGCACAGCACACCCAGCACTGTTCACTTGGTTGATTTGGGTTCCGGGGTCCTCACAGGTGCTAAGCGAACACTTTACTCACTGAGCTGTGCCTGCAGCCCACTCCGGGATTTTTTGAGTATTAGTATTTGTCGTATCAGGTAGTACCAACCACACCTGGGTCTTCTGGAAGACCGCAAGTGCTCTGAACTTGCTCTGCCATGCTTCCAGTCCCAACATTTACCTTCTTGTATCCCACAGCTTGACAATGTTGTCTAAAGAGCCTGAAATGAGCTGCTGTTCGTGGGTGGGAGACCACTTCACTGATGTTACCCAGCCTGTGTGTGAGGTGAGGGACAGCGACACCAAAGACCCGTCTGAACGAAGAGAAAGAAAATGCAATGGGTTTTAGGAAAGACAAGCAGAACACACCCAAAGACTATCTGCAGAAACTTGTCTTTTTTAACATTCCCCACTGGTGACAACATACCTTTAGTCCGGGGATCCCACAGTCTAATATGCCTATCTGTGCTTCCAGATGCCAAACGTTTACAAAGGGGAGAATAGGAAATACAATTAAACACTTTATTTCCTGTCTGAAAATAAAAGGAAAGAACATTTAACCAGAAGGCTAAAAGTAACCACCTTTAGAAATGTATTACTGAAAAAACGAACGTTGATCGTGGGACCACCAAAGTCTTACCAGAGTTGACTTAAGACCACCAGACTCAACATCCCACACTCTAATTGTGTGATCCCAAGATGCACTGCAGATTTCTTCAGCATCTGACCAAAGTACTGAGGAAATTGCTTCTGTGTGGCCAGACAGGGTCACCAAGGGAGTCTAGAAATGAAAGGTCACAAAAACGGAAAAACATTCTTACCACAGAGTATCTGAAATGAGTAGATTTTAGGGTCGGGGTGGTAGCGCACACCTTTATGCCGGCATGCGGGAGGCAGAGACAGACAGGTCTCCGGGTTCCAGGCCAGCCAGGGACACATAATGATACTCTGCCAAAATAAAAGACTAGATGTTAATGTCCAAAGTAGCTATGCCAGACTTTTTGCCCAATGGATTATTTTGTCTTTATAGTAATCCTCCAACACAGATGTTTCTGTCTTTATTTTATATGTGAAGGGGCTCAGGGGACAACATGTCAGCTGTCAAAGCTGATGACAAGTTTAATCCAGGGACCCAGATGGTTCAAGGAGAACCAATTCCTGTAAGCTGTCTTCTGACCTCACACACACACACACACACACACACACACACACCACATAAATGAAAAGTTTAAAGTCTTACAACCACTGGTTTCACCATCTAAACAAGCTAAAAATATGAACCAGGGGTTTTACAATTCAATACCCAAGTGCTAACTCGGGCTTACATTAATTTGAACATGATAACCATTATGTATAAGTGTATCTACTTATGCCAAATATATCCAATCACTGTTTGTCAGTTAGATTTAAGGTGGAAAAAAAAAAAGAAAAAGAAAAAGCCAGGAATAGTGATGCATACTTGAATCCCAGCAATCAGGAAGCTGAAGAACTCCTGAAAATTTGAGACCAGCCCAAGTCAGTGAGTTCCAAATCCATCTCAGCTATCCAGCAAGATTCTCTCTCAAACTAAACAAACTTTGTTTAATGAGACCTAACTGCTAAATGACAGAATTAAACTCCATATTAATGACTTCTAGTGTTTCAGGATATAACTAGCAGCTCTAAAGTGAATTTTATCTTCAGTATATGAAAGAAATAGCATTAAACAGTCAGATAATTACCGTCAAACAAGAGTTAATGATTAAAATGTACCATGACAGTCCTACCACTCAGTAAGATTGATTCAGATGATATATTATCCGAAGTCTCAGAAAAATGTAGCAACAGTACTACAAAAAGAAAGCGTAATCATGGTTGAAGCAACAAGACAGAAGAGAACATAAACAAAAAAAGGGGGGAGGGGGTTCCTGGAGAGCTGGCTCAGCAGCAGCTAAGAGCACTGACCTTCAGAGGACCCAGGTTCAATTCCCAGCACCTACATGGTGGCTCACAACTGTCTGTAACTCCAGTTCCCGGGGACCTGACACCTTTATACAGACACACACAGAAAACACCAATGCACATAAAATAAAAATAATTAATTAAAAAAAGACTGCTGAATTATCATCCTTTCATCAAACACACCAAAGCCAAATAGAGTCAATTCTCACAACTATTTACCCTTTAACAGACAGAGACAATCACAGAAAACGACAACCAGTCAAATGAAGACAATCACTGATGGGGTGCCCAGCCCCAGTGGATACACCCACAACTCCTGCACCTAAGATTCAGGGATAAAAGACGGTCAAGAGCCCGAGGACCAGGAAATATGCTGTGAGACTGTCTCTCTTAAAAGAGACAGGGAAGCTTCATCGAAGACGGCCTCAACAATACGGCTGCCTAAATAAGACCTGAACAAGGACACTATCACTAGCCATGTTAGTGTGGAAGGTGGAAATCCCATGGGGCCTCACCCCCAGACAAAGACCTACAGGCAGCTAAGGAATGCTGAGAGTTCTCTTCCAGAGGTGAGCTCCCAAACTGGCTATCCAACACCAAGTGGCAGCTCGGGAGTCACATATACACAAGAAACAGTAAAGGGATTCATCAGGTTATAGTCATAATACTTATGCATGTATACATATATACCTAACAATAACAAAGAGAGGCCAGAATTAGGGGGATGTACACATGAAAGGAGTTGGAGAAGGGAGAAAATGACGTGATTAGATAGATAGATATAGATAGATTTATTATGTGCACAGTGTTCCGCCTGCATGTATGCCTGCACGCCAGAAGAGGGCACCAGACCTCATTACAGATGGTTGTGAGCCACCATGTGGGTGCTGGGAATTGAACTCAGGACCTCTGGAAGAGCAGCCAGTGCTCTTAACCTCTAAGCCATCTCTCCAGCCCTGATGTGATTATATTTTAATTAAAACAAAAACAAACTTACCCTTGTTAGTCCCAATTGCTCTGTTTTTTGCTTCTTTCTTGGCCGATTTGTGGATTCTTCTATTTCATCTTCTTCATCTGTAGGGACTACATCATAGAGAAACTTAATATTGAAAATTTTAGTAACTATTAATGGCAAACTGCAAGAATGTCCGATATTCTGGGTATACAGTTTTCTTTCTTTTTTCAGTTATTAGGGAATGTATATCCCTTGTTATTTTGGTTAACACAAAATTGTATATAAAAATCATATCTGACCACTAGGGTATTGTAATTCAGTGTAAAGTACCTGAGACTCAACCCTTAAGTAGTAGCAAAAGGAAGAACATTTCCTGGATTGGCAATCAGACACAGACAAGGACTTTTTGTTGTTGTTGTTTTGGTTTTCGAGACAGGGTTTCTCTGTGTAGTATTGGCACCTGACCTGGATCTCACTGTGTAGACCAGGCTGGCCTCGAACTCACAGAGATCCGCCTGGCTCTGCCTCCCGAGTGCTGGGACTAAAGGTGTGCGCCACCACTGCGATTTATTAGAATTGGTTTACAGACAGTTGTTAGCCACCATGTGGTTACTAGGAACTCAACTCAGGACCTCTGGAAGAGCAGCCAGTGCTCTTAACCGCTGAACCATCTCTCCAGCCCAAGCATTCTTATAACATTTATTAATACGTACATTTTATGCTGTATTACACATAATATTTAAAGCTGCTTAAACTGGTTCTGAGCACATTAACTATTTTGTCAGCTGTAACTGGGGTCTGAACTGTGAACAGCAATTCCATCAGAAGTAATAGGGTCTTCTGACCTTTTTACATATGCAGAAATAATTCCAGCTGTTAGGTTTCAAAATTTAAGAATTTGTGTGGGTCCCCTCCTATCTTTTGTTTCTATAAGCACCCCTAACTTCTTTAGAGAATCTGTCCTCTCCTTCGACTGTGTGTTTTAATCTGTATTTTCAAAGTAAGCTAGGTATGGTGGAGCATGATTATAATCCCAGCATTTGGGATGCAGAGGCAGGAGGATCACAAGTTTGAAGCCACGATGGTCTATACAGCCAGTGCCAGGTTCCAGGATAGTGAGGGATATATAAAAAGACCCTGCTTCAAAAAAAATTTTTTTAAAGACATTTTCACATGTATGCATGCTTTGCCTGCATTTATGTGTGTGTACCATGTGTGCCTGGTGCCCAGGAGCCAGGAGAAGGTGTCAGATCCCCTGAGACTGGAGCTGAGGACGGCTGTGAGCTTGAGTGCTTGAACTAACCTGGGTCCTCTGCAAGAGCAGCAAGTACACTTAATCACTGAGCCACCTCTCCAACCACTCAAAACTCATTTTAAAGTGACTTAAAATGAGTCAAAATTATTAAAAAACAATTTCTAGGGTTTTTAATTAAATGCATTCTGAGATCCAAGACAATTTGTTATACATGTAACAAATCAGTGACTGTCAAATACAGAGGTGGTAGGGTTAAAAAAAGAACCAAAAAAACTAAAAACAAAAATGTACTAATTTGTCTTCATACTACACTTTTTTTGGGGGGGAGGGTGTTGAGACAGGGTTTCTCTGTGTAGCTTTGGAGCCTGTCCTGGATCTCCCTCTGTAGCCCAGGCTGGCCTTGGACTCACAGAGATTCACCTGCCTCTGTCTCCCGAGCGCTGGGATTAAAGGCGTGCGCCACCACCGCCCAGCTACACTTCTCTTTGTACATACTAAAACACATTAGTCTATTTTTATAGCAAGTATGAAAAATAAAAGTCTCTCACTAAAATTCTAGAAACATGATTAATAAGTCAAAATACAAAAAGATATTGATACCTGTAGACCAGATCTTCAGCATCTTATCCCAGGAGCCGCTGCAGAACTGGACACACAAACGAAGGAGAAAGCACATGTAATGACTGACACCATCTACCCCGGCCACTCTTACTTTCAAAGTTTCTCTGCTTGCTTCACTTCTCTGTGCGCAGGCTCTGTAATCTTTACTACTAGATAATCACATATGTGGCTTCCCAGTCTTCTGGAAGCTGTAGCCTTATCTCCACGGCAACCAGCTGCTGTTCCTATATGCACCTGTGTCCTGCACAGCTGCTTAGATCAAAGTGGGCAAGTAAGCTAGACTACACTAATAGGTCTGCTCTGCTTCTAGAACCTTTACATAAACCTGAGAAGTGAAGTTAGACTTTTCCTGGGGGAAGCAAAATAGATTCCCCCCCACACACACACACACTCACCCAGGGACAAACAGTACAGGACAAAACTAGGAAGTATTACATGTAGAGAAAACCAGTATAGGGTTCAAAATGAACCAAAGTGACTTGGGAACAGAGAAGGTTGGGGCATGTCAGCTACATTTAGCCTCCATTCCAGAGAGTTCCTGAGGCCCAAATATATCATCACCTTCTTGTTCTGGCTTGTTCATTCTTTCCTTGGCTACCACAATCAAATTTTCTCTTGAGCTTTAACAAACTGAAGATGAGTTTCTGCTCGTGTATAAGCAAAATGTAGTCTAAATCCCCAGCCAAAAGACACGAAAGGTTAATTCATCTAAATGTGTACTCAACAACATATCACCTTTCTGTGACTCAAGATAAATCATAAACCTTTATCTCTGAGTACATTCAACGTTCTGTGTTACTCCAAGCTGGAGAACACTGTTAAATCCTGAGTTCTCCAAAGCAGCAAAGGGAACTTTCACATGCTAAGAGGGTGTGCAGCCCTTCATAGGTCAATGAAGGAAGTTATCACTTTCTGGTTTGTATCCATTTTGTTGTAACAAAGAACAGGCCAGGCTGGGCATGGCGGCAGCTCGTGCATGTAATCCCAGTACTCAGGAGGCGGAAGCAGGCCGATCAACAGGGACATAAGGCCGGACTGGACTGCACAGGGAGAATTCCAGGGCAACCTGGGCTACAGTGAGAACCTGCATCAAAAACCAAAGTAAGGGACTGAGGATTGAGTTCCAGTGCAGGTACAGGCTGTATGTCAGCACTGATGGTGAAACACGCTGTTAATATTAATTAGCCTTCGTGTGCTAAGGCTTGGGGGTCATTTAGACATTTAATGATGACAGCACTTTAAGAGAACCTGATGAATTGAAAACACTGCCAACTACTATCATTTAAGGTTATCTTTACTTGTTCTCTCTCTTTCTATTTTTTGGGGGGAGGTGGTGTTTCAGGGTTTCTCTGTGTAGCCCTGGCTATCCTAGAACTCACCCCATAGACCAGGCTGGCCTCGAACTCAAGAGATCGGCCTGCCTCTGCCTCCCAAATGCTGGAACTAAAGGCGTGCGCCACCACTGCCCAGCTTAATCCAATTTTTAATAATTTTTAACCACTGGTTGTTATGGGAGTTACAACCATCAGGAACACATCTATATAGTGTGTTTACTCAGCTGCTGAAATTCTGACCCGACACACCAGTGGCCACACTGCTGTAGCAGGGACCACTCACTTTGGTTCCTGAGCTGTCCACTGCTATGGAGTCCACACTCCCCGCATGACCTCTGCAGCAGTGCAGAGCTTTGACTTTGTTCTTCTCCACGTTCCATTCCCACAGGAGGACAGTCTGGTCCATTGAGGCGCTCAGGAGTAAGCAGGACAAATTGTCTGAAGAAAAGAGAAAACGAGAAACACATAGGACAAAACTGCACCTTCTTTTCTATCAGTCAGTATTTTTGTAAGTGTTTTAATAATTATTAAGATGGACTACTTTTAAAAGAGAGCTATCATGGTAAAAAGGAAAAATTCTTAAAACAAGCCTAGTAGTGTGCACCTGTAATCCCAGCCGTCAAGAGGCTGAGGCAGAAGAGGGACAGGTTTGGGCTATCCTAGGCTACACTGTGACCACCCCATCCCCACCCCATGCTGTCACCAAAAAGAGAAGACTCTTTAAAAACAGGAAAAATGTGTTCAATGTACTTACTAAATTGAAGGTGTACAGATAATTTTAGTAAAGACTTCCTCCTTAAATTTATGAACTTGGAGCTAGGTATATGGCTCTGTGGCAGTGTGCTTGCCTGGGTTCAGTCTCCAGGACGGGGGGTGGGTGGTGGGTGGGTGGGAGTGGGGACACAAACAGCAATCTATGGATTTTAAAAGTATTAATTCTTGCCAGGCGGTGGTGATGCATGCCACCTATGGATTTGAAAAATACTAATTCTTGCCAGTTGGTGGTGCACACACCTTTAATCCCAGCCCTCGGGAGGCAGAGGCAGGTGGATGTCTGTGAGTTTGAGGCCAGTCTGGTTTACAGAGTGAGTTCCAGGACAGCCTGGGCTACACAGAGAAACCCTGTCTCAAAAAACATATATATATACCTTCCCCCTTTTAGCACTATATTTCTGAAACCTAGCAACTGAGCCATGAAGCATTTTTCACCCAATCATTCTTTTGTAGACTAAAGTTAGTTCAGTTTCAAACTCTTCTTAAGTAGAATCTTACCTTTTTTCACCCAGGCCACATCTTTCACAACGTCTGTATGTCCTGCAATTGTCATTATTGACTTTCCTTCCAAGGACCAGATCCGAGATGTCTTATCATAAGAACCAGACAGGATCCTACAATGGGAAAAAAAATGCTATGAAATACAAAAAGATGACTTTTGAAGGCCTGAAAATTAGTTGTTTCTATGGCAATAGCAAAGTAAACTTGGGGAAGAAACTCTTCTTTAATATGAAGAACAAGATTTCAAAGCATAACAACAGCTCAGATGTTACACTAATTTTCTGAACCACTAAAACAATATGAGATTTCACTTTTATTGTTGCAAATGCTATAAATTTCACCAAAGCAATGCACACTGCTTGTAAAGCTAACATTTCTTAAGTAACCACTGAAAACTATTCAAGAGAAAAACAGAGATGAGATGTAGCTCAGTGGTCAGCACCTGCCCAGCAAGCAGAAGTCTCTGGATCTGATGTCCAGCACCACACAGACACACAAATACTGACACTGACAGAGACACAGACAGACAGACAGACAGACACACACACCACAATACCAAAGCAAAAAGGAAAACCATGAAGAATAAGAGAAACGAAGCCAGGCATGGTGGCACACCTTTAACCCCAACATCTGGGAGAAAGAAGCAGAAGGATCTCTGAGTCTGAGGCCTACATAGGAAGTTCCAGGACCGCCAGGACTACACAGAAACACACTGTCTTAAAAAAAACAAAATCTAACTTTATATAATAATTCCAAGTTCTCTTCAGGATGACAAGATGGCTAAGCTGCAAAGCATCTGCTGCCAAGCCCAGGGACTTGAGTTCAGTCCCCGGAACCATGTGAAGGTGGGAAGCGAGAACCATCTTCACAGAGTCGTCTTCTGACTGCCACACTTTTTATACACACGTGCAATGGCGCACACCCCCCCCCCAACAAAACACACAATAAAAATAAAATGGCCCCCAAAAAGGAACGACAGAAGTAAGCTACCCCCGATCAACTCCTAAGATGTTTTTTCTATAAGTACAGACAGTTCAGTATGATCAGTAGTGGGCATGTGCTTTAAGACAGTGGTTCTCAACCCAAGGGTCGAGACCCCTTTGGGGGTCACATGTCAGACATCCTGCAGATCAGATATTTACATTATGATTCAAAACAGTAACAAAATTAGTTTGAAGTAGCAATGAAATAATTTTCTCACAACATGAGAAACTGTACTAAAGGGTCGCAGCATTAGGAAGAATGAGAACCACTGTAGTAAGACATGTTAGTCCTACAATAGCATGTCTGCATCTTCATGGTAGCGGGTGGGGAGATCTGTGGCCATAAATGTTAATTTTTCTCCTCTATGAAGCAGTGTGTATCTCTGGTCTTAAATATCAATGACTGCTGACTTACATAGAATACAAATATCACAACATTTTGAAACAAAGAAAACCTAATAATAAACATTTGTTTTCTTCTTGAATATACTGACTGCAAAAGCCTATTTGGTATGGTCACCAGTAATCACTGCACGAAGTAGCCTTAACAAAGCAAAACGCTTCAGAGAGAGACAGTCCCACTGTGGAGGCACGTAAGAAGACAAAAGCACACGCCGTGCATGCATACCACTCTTCTGCCCCTTCAATCGAGCTGATCCAGTCATCGTGGAACATGCACTGCTCTGGCTGGGGCGCGGTGTATTTCTCCACGTATTCTAGTTCCACAACCTCTTCCTAGTCACAGAGAACAGAAAATAAACCAGGGGACAGTTTGTGGGTTTTTTGTTTGTTTGTTTTTTGTTTTTCAAGACAGGGTTTCTCTGTGTAGCCTTCGAGCCCGTTCTGGAACTTGTTCTGTAGACCAGGTTGCCTCAAACTCACAGAGATCCACCTGCCTCTGACAGCTTTTTTTTTCATTATTATTATTATTTTTTTTTTTTTTTGGTTTTTCGAGACAGGGTTTCTCTGTGTAGCTTTGCGCCTTTCCTGGAGCTCACTTGGTAGCCCAGGCTGGCCTCGAACTCACAGAGATCCGCCTGGCTCTGCCTCCCAAGTGCTGGGATTAAAGGCGTGCGCCACCAACGCCCGGCAGCCTCTGACAGCTTTTAAATATTACTTTGAAGGAAGAAAATTTGGGAACCATTTAAAAAGTCAAGATTTTTCTTTTGGCCTCACATTAAGCTAAGAATATGAACTTATATTAAAAGTGGAAATAAAAAGATACTTTTAAAAAGTTATTCAGTTTTATTTTAAATTATGTGTATATGTGTGGAGGCTAGAGGCATGGAATCCCTCTGGAGCTGGAATCATAGGCAGTTGGCAGTTGCCCAATGTGGGTACTGGGAACTGAACTCAGGTCCTCAGGAAGAGCAGCAAGCATTCTCAACCACTGAACTGTCTCTCTAACCCCTACAAGAAAGTTCTTATGTAAAAAAAAAAAAAAGAAAAGAAAGATAAACAGAAAGATCATACAAGCATATTTTTCTTTGAGGGGAGAGCATCTGTTCAGGATGACAGAGCTCTGGAAATGGGGAGTGGTGAGTTGCACAGTAGTGTACTTCATATTACTGAACTGCACACTTGAGAATGGCTAACATCATAAACCTGCTCTTACATATATTTCATCATCGTATTTTAAAATCACGAAATGGAGGGGAAATTACAAATTACATTCTAAACAATTTACTTATTGTGTGTGTACATCCATGTATTCCACAGTGTACGTGGAGGTCAAAGAACAACTTGTGGGAGTTGGTTCTTTCCTTCTACTATAGGGGTCCTGGGGATGAATTCAGGTCATCAGGCTTCGTGACTGGCACCTTTACTCCGTCAGCCATCTTGCTGACTCCAAACAGTCCTTTTTTTCCCCAGGCAGGGTCTCACTATATAACCATGGTTAGCCTAGACCTCCCAGTCTCCCGCTGACTGTCCTCCGGCCTTCACAAGCAGGCTGTGCATGCACCCACACATACTATATAATAATAAATAAATAAGTGAATGTAATTTTAGAATGCTTTCTAAGACTCTCAAAGAAAGTCAAAATGTCAGGCAGTGGTGGTGCACACCTTTAATTTCAGCACTTGGGAGGCAGAGGCAGGTGGATCTCTGAGTTTGAGGCCAGCTTGGTCTACAGAGTGAGTTCCAGGACAGCCAGGACTGCACAGAGAAGCCCTGTCTTGGAAAAAAACAAAAAAAGGAAAGAAAAGGGCAAAAAACCTTGGGTGTTGAAATCAATTTAGGCTGATTCTATAAGCAGTTACTCTACTAATGTATTAAATCAAACGTAAGCAGTACTTGGACTTACCGATGAAATGTTTTCCAATTCCATGTGTTTGACCAAGGGCATTCGAAGAAACTGGCCCTTGATAAGGAAATCGAACTCGACATGTTTGTGGAGCTCTGTAAAACAGGAAGGATCTTATTAATATCGGCGCCATATGATTGAGAACCCTGCAGCAATCACGTCTCAAGTACCCATTGCTGCCCCAGCTGCTCCGTAACTTCTCATACTGAATGAATGGTTTTTGGTTTTTTGAGACAGGGTCTTTGTCCTGGACCTCACTATGCAGACCAGGCTGGCCTTGAACTCACAGAGGTCCACCTGACTCTGCCTCCCTGAGTGCTGTGATCAGAGGCGTGCGCCACCACGACACCCGGCTGCATGATTTCTAAAGAACCCACATACTTGGTTTTGTTTACTTACGCTTGGTTTTACGGTAGTGTAATGACCTTAGGGGCCAGGGGTTGAGCCAGGTTGTATGTGCGCCCAGCACATGTTCTACCACTAACTACACCCCACTAATCTTGTCTTTTGTTTTGAAAGAGTGGTTTATTGAGTAGACAAAAGAGGGCAAGCAGCTGGACAGTAGCTCGAATACCACCTGAAGCCTATTACCTCATTTTCAAAAGCCTTTGTTCTACAGAAAACGTACAACATACACAAAGGTATAAACCACACTGAACACCACACCCTACTCCAATACAAAACAGCTTGTGAGGAATCATTTCTATTCCTGTCTCCATTCTCTTGCTAGCTCCTTCTAAAGCAACCTCAGAAACCATACCATTTCATGTGTAAATGGCTTTATTGCACATCTCTAAAATCTAAGGAATTAAAACATAATGTTAAAATATTAACCATGCTACTATCATATACTTAGTCATTATTCATATTTTTTTTTAATTAATTTAACTTCTATTTTGAAACTGGGTCCTACTGTGTAAGCCCACACTGGCTTCAAACTCACTACATAACCCAGGCTAGCCTCCAGAGGCTAGACAGATAGAAAGGGCAATCTCTGACTCATCGTCTCGGTCTCTAAAGCACTGGAATTGCAGGTGTGTCCCATCATGCACAGCTGCCCCTGTGTTAGAGCAAACATTTTAAAGCCGGCACCTAACTGGTTAATGTGTTCCTTCAATCTTTAAAAGCCCCCTCCTTTTTCTAGTCATTTCTTCATTGAGGAAAATGGGTCAACTACCTTATATTTCCTACATTTCTGGGCTTGGTTAATTACATCTCCAAAGTGTCTTTTTATTTTTTATTTTTATTATTATCTTGTGCATGTATGCAAGTGTTTGTGGGCATGTGTACCACGGTACATACATACCCATGTGGAGGTCAGAAGACAACTTGTGGGGTTGGGTCTCTCCACTTTTATTTGGGTCGTGAGGATTAAACTCAGGCTTGCACCATTGGAGAGCAAGCACTTCAGCTGGCCAAGCTATGTCACGGCCCTACAGAGTATCTTTTAATACGTTCCTCTATCCTCTACGGTGCCCTGTTAATCAGTGAGCCTTCAATGGTAAGACTTTAGGCTGCCACCACATCAACATGGATGCATTAACTAGTGTGTTCTTTTTTGCATATGCGTGTGTGAGCACACGTGTGTGCATGAGTGTACAAGTTCAAGGCTGATGTTGAATGTCTTCCTGGCTCACTTGTCACCTTAAATATTAAGGCAAGGTCTCACTGAACCCACAGCTTGATGTTTTGCTAGTCTGGCTGGCCAGCCTGCTCTCGAGTTCCCCATCTGTTTCCAGTGTGCTGAGATTGCAGGCAGCTCACCACCGCAGCCTTCCTTTATGTGGGGGCTAGAGGTCTGAACGATGGCTTCTTCATGCGTGCACAAAAACACCTACCCACTGAGCCAACTCTCCAGCCCTTATTTTTTTTTCTTATAACTTATTTATTTTCATTTTGTGTGCACCTGTGTTTACCAGCATGTATGTCTGTGTGAGGGTGTTGGATCCTGAAGTTACAGAGAGTTGTGAGCAGAGTCAGGTGAATGTCTGAGTTTGAGGCCAGCCTGGTCTACATAGCCAGTTACCCTGTCAAAGAAAAACAAACAGACAAAAAAACCCAACAACAAACGTATTTATGTGTAGCTGGTGGCACCGTACCCTCTCCTATCTCCCTGGAGCATACACGCTTACCATTTTTGGTCTCCAGCAATTTATTGATGATGTTACTAAGGTCAGCAACTTCAGAGGCGGCAGGGATTGAGAAAGGAACATCATCTACTGCATATCTGTAAGAGGGAAGTGATATGTTAGTATTATGTCTATACATTTTGGCAAATCTGCATTTACTCACTCAACAACTATTCACTGGGCACATCATCCCAGACATTCGCTACACGGCATAAACAAAATGAGGTGAAATGTCTTTATTCTTTTTTTTTTAACAGAAGAATTATTTTCTTTTTTCTTACTCATTTTACATACCAACCACAGATCCCACTCTCATCCCTCCTCCCGCCCTCCTGCCTTCCCCACATCCCCTCATCCAATGTCTTTACTCTTAAAAGAATCAAGCACAATGAAGTCCTTTGGACACAGTGTTATAAACGATGAGACTATTAGAAATAAGTCACTTCAGCCAGAGAAAAGGGTGTAAGTGCAGGACCCAAAAGAATGCAGAGCTACAAAAAGTGATGTTGGCCAGATAAGGGAGGGATAGCCTGGAAATGAGACCGAGGGAAAGTAAGAACGGCAGACCAAAGGAACCTGCTCCTATTTCGGGTCCTGATTTTCCTCTAGGCAGTGTTCAGAGATAAGCCTAAAGACACACAGTGTTTCAGGTCCCATATACGATGAAATCGTTTTTAATTCTTTGTGTAGGCAACAAGGAACCACTGTAGCAGTCCAAGTTCAAGAATAACAGCAGCACTCTATTTAGACAGACCTTTATAGCTGTGCCACAGACTAGATTAGAATAATATATGACTGGAGGCAGAACAGAACCCAAAGAGAGACAAGAAAATATTTACAAATCATTTATCTGGTAGCGAACTTGTATCCACAATATATAAAGAACATTTGTATCTCAGTAATAAAAAGGCTTTTTTTTTTTTTAAACGGGCAAGGGATTTGAATAGTTTTCTAGAGAAAGAGCAATGACCAACGGGCACAGGACCAGACCACAATGAACGTCATTTCACACCCATCAGGATGCAACTAAAGCGATGCTCACAATCCAGGGAAAGGAGAACCTCATCCATCAATGGTGGGAATGTAAAACGGTGGGGTTACTTTGGAAAAGTGTGCCAGCTGCCCTGGAAGTTAAATGTGGACTTTACCATTTGACCCAAGAACTACACTTTTAGGTACACACCAAAGAGCAATGAAAACACATGTTTACTGGACATGGTGGCATGGGCCTTTAATCCCAGCATTTGGAAGGCACAGGCATGTGGATCAGTGGGTGTGAGGCCAGCCTTGCCTACCCAGTGGGTTCCCGGCTAGCCAGGGCTACACATGTTCACATGGAAACTGTACATTAATGCTTCCACAGCCACTATTCACAATAGCTAAAAGACTGGAACAACCTAAATGTCTTAACTGCACAATAAGAGACAACGAGCCATATAATGGACTATTAGCCATAAAATAAATGAAGTATTAGGGTAGTCTGCCTTATGGTTAAACTATAAAAACAGTCAGTGAAAGATACCAGACACAAAAGACGACAAAGTTTGTATAATTTCATTATACAAAATGTCCAGGATGGACACCTACACAGAGATAGATGGTACATAGGGAGGTCGACTTGGATGGGAAGCATTTAAGGGATTGAGTGGCATCTAGAGAGATGAACTTTTTTCTAAAATGGATCATGTAAATGTTTGTACAATTCTACTAATATGATGCACCTGAATCTCACTATATACTATATATGTATCACTAGTAAATTTGCCATCTCTACGACTTATTTATACATAAAACATAATTATACACATATAAATAGATACATGCACACAGTCCGGGTTTGTTTGTCAACTCAGAAGCTAAGGTTATCTGAGAAGAGGGAACTTGAATTAAGAAAACACCTCCACTACACTGGCCCGTAGGCAAGTCTGTGGAGCATTTTCTGGATTAATGACTGATGTAAGAGGAACCAGTCCACTGTGGGAAGTGCCACCCCTGGGCAGGTGGTCCTGGGTTGGTCTACAAAGTGAGTTCCAGGACAGCCGGGGCTGCAGAGAAACCTTGTCTCAAAAAAGGCAGGCTTAGCTGGACATGGGGAGAGGAAGCTACAGTGCAGCACCCCTCCATGGCTTCTGCTTCAGTTCCTGCCTCCAGGTTCCTGTCCTTAGTTCCTGCCTTGGCATCCTCTGATGATGGCTGTAACCTGTGAGCCAAATAAACCTTTTCCTACCACAAGCTGCTTTTGGTCATAGTTTGGGTCTTTTTGTTTTTGTTTTTCAAGACAGGGTTTCTCTGTGTAGCTTTGCACCTTTCCTGGAACTCGCTCTGTAGCCCAGGCTGGCCTCGAACTCACCGAGATCCACCTGCCTCTGCCTCCCGAGTGCTGGGATTAAAGGCGTGTGCCACCACCGCTTTAAAGGTCATAGTGTTTTATCACACTAACTAAAACACATACATCTAGTCAGGTCAGTAACTGAACTGACCTCATACTAATAAAAAAAAAAAAAAATCAGCTCTAGGAACCCCATATTCAGAGACCCAGCTTCTACAGTGGTTGAGAAGAGCAAACGAAGTCCTGCTTTCAGAAACCATGAGACACCATTGACAGGCAGCCCGTAAACCCAAGTGCCACGGCTCGCCCCTCAAATCACGAAAAAAAGTGTGTACATCACTCAGAAAGCAAACTCAAAGCCCGGTTCCCTCCACCCGCAATTCAAATGATAAAGAGCTCACGAAGGTGGGCAGAAAAACGGGGATTCGGGAAGCCACCTAAGACGTGCCCACCGCTTGCAAATGGGATGACGATACGGGGCAGACGGGAGGGGACGGGGACGGGAGGGCGACTGAAGTCTTTTTTATCTTTGTTTTTTCTTTCTATCCGGCACTCGGGTTATCTTATTTGCATTAAAGTCCTGTTCATTCCAGCCGGGGACCCTATTAACCTTCTCTCCGCTCCGATTGCCTAAAGCCTGGGCTGTTTCTCGCTGACTGTCTGTTCCCAGACCCGGGTTGCCGGTGCCCACAGGGGTCCGAACCGAAGCGGGTCCGGAACCCAGACGGGCTCGGGGAAGGTTAAGGGCTGGCTGGCGCTGCACTTACTTCCTGTGCTCCGTGTAGAAACGCGCCTGGAGCTGTGCCATGGCGGGAGGCCCACGCGAGACCGCTCCACGAGGACGCGTCTGTTGACAAGCGCGGCCGGCCGGGGCAGGGGAAGGCTGGCAGGCTCCCGCTGCCGGCCTCCGGCTTCCTCCGCTCACACCACGAGGTTCCCTCTCCACAGACGCGCCCAGCCCGCACACATCGACTACCTATCCCGAGATTGAGGAAACATCGATTAGCGAAGCGATGTCCCCAAGGCAGCCGCCAGTCCCCGGCTACGTCTCTGTTTCTTACTCTCTATTTAGATCCGTGACCGACTAGGAAGACAGGGAAAAGATCTAATTAGAATCTTATTATTAGTATTATTATTTTTTAAGGGTGTCCTTAGCCCGGATACTTTAGACTCAGCGCTCAGAGACTACAAACCCCAGAAGGGAGCGCGTTTCAGGCGCTCTGAACTCTGGGAGTTGTAGGCTTTATTCATTTATCTCTTTAGCCCCAGCGCGCTCAGGTTCTCTTATCTGCTCTTAAACTCCCTTCTCTGGCCAGGTATTCCACTTCCTGCCCCTTAGCTCGGGGTGACAAACGGTCCCGCCCGTTTACTTTTTATGCACAGTTCCAACAACAGCCCGGCTCAGCGGAGACCACGCGTTCTTCGCTCAAGGGGCCGAGCGGAAGCACGGGGAAGGAGAACGCATCGGGCAGGGGAACCGGGCGACGGTGGCCGAGGAGGGCCCAACCTCCTGGGCCCGGGCCGCGCCTCCCGGCGGGGCGCGCGTGCGCACTGTGCTGGTCTCCATGGCGGGGCCTCGGCGCCAAGACGAGGTTGAGTAGACTCGTGTTGAATTTTCTCCCTTCTGCTCCGGCGGACTCCCCCCCACCCCCCCGGCCCCCTCTCCTCGCGTTGTGGGGCGCACGGCGGCGGCGGCAGGGTTGGGAGGTGGGGGGCAGCCGGAGGTCTGCACCCACGGACGGGGACGACGCTCCCGCTCGAGCGCCCTCCTCGCTCCTGCCTCCGCCTCCTCCCGTCACCTCCTGACCCTGCCGGGCTGGAGCAACCGCCGCCCCCGCTCCCGGCCGCCGCCCGCCTGTCCCTCCCGGCGCTCTCGCCGGCCTCCGCTCCGGGTCCTTCACCCCTGGTCCCGGGAGGGGCCCCGCGGCCGGGGGATGGCAGGCAGGCAGGCAGGCTGCAGCAGGGGGAGGCTCCGGTGTCCTGCGGAGGGTGCTGAGCCCAGGCGTGCGCCCCCGCCACGGAGCAGCCTCGCCCCTCTCCCCTCCTGCCCCAGTCCGAGGTTTAGCAAGGCTCCCTCCGCACCGCTCCCCTGCTTTCTTCAGACTGTTGTTGATGTTTGAATCTTGAAGTCACTCAAAAGGCCTGTCCCGGTCTCGATGGCCCCGATTATGACTCTATTTTCCTGAGTGGAGACTAGATGGGGGATGCTTTTAAGATCCCGAAGTCACATTCTAAGGCATCCCCCCCCCCAAAAAAAAAAAGAAAACCTCCAAAGTGGGGTCGGGGGTGGGGGGTGCCCCTCTGAGACAGCAATTGAGAGTCAGGCAGAACTGGGTTGCAAAATGTGTGGGCTTAGCAGTGTGTGTGTGCAGGTGAAAACAACGAAAGCTTTTCTTTTTTTAATATACGTTGCCTAATATTTAAATCATCTATAGAAGGTTAGAAGTTATCTAAACAGTTGGAGGCGGAAACCAATCATTTGTTAAGTGAGCAATGACAGGGAAAGCATGTCTATTTTCAATGTATCCACGTTACAGAATTGCATGCCCTGTAACAGGAATGCCTGAATTTGATTCTGCCTGTGCTACTTAACCTCTGTGCCACACTTTGATCAACCGTGAGAATTAAATGTCACATAAGAAGCACTCGGTAAATGTTAGCTATTGCCCTCGTAAGAGCTAGCAGTACAAATTTTAACTAGAAACTTGACTGACGTAGGTGGAGGCATAAAAATGAGAAAAATCTCTGCCCAGGTTCCAGAGAGAAATCGCTCGATAAGATGATAAGTCATTACAGTGCTGAAGATTTACATTAAATAAGCTGGGACATCTGAAACTTGAAGTTCCTTAGTTGAAGTGTAACTATTGAAATCTTACTGATAGCGTATGATTGATTAAATAGCCTTTTAAACTTTCCTTAATTTGGACTTTATCAAATTAACAGTACTTGAAAGTCAATACATTTTTACCTTAATTTGAATGGAATCGTGTGATTAGGAAGATGCAGAGCTGGAATTACTCAAGGAAAGATGTCAATTTGCAAGGCAAAAATCTTGAATTCATTAAAAGATGTTTTTATTTGGCTAAGATGTTTAGTTAAGGAAAATTAGGTTTTGCAAAATTCAGACTACCCCGCATGATTTTTTTTCTTCCAACAGTGACTTAGGTGTCTTTCTCTGGTTTTGCTTCCCAGCAGTGCTAATGCTTTTGAGTCTTGGTTTCTTTTTTTTTAAAAGATTTATTTATTTATTATGTATACAGCATGTATGACTGCAGGACAGAAGAGGGCACCAGATCTCATTACAGATGGTTGTGAGCCACCATGTGGTTGCTGGGAATTGAACTCAGAACTTCTGGAAGAACAGTCAATGCTCTTAACCTCTGAGCCATCTCTCCAACCCGAGTCTTGGTTTCTTTAAGTTTCGTTAATATGTGCTGCAAACTGTTGGGATTCACTTACTGTGGTCCTCAGGAAGACTCACTGTTATCTGGAGAACCCCCACCATTGGAAAAATATTTCTTTTTGTTACAGTCTTTTGTTTTGTTTTGAGACAGGGTCTCTCTGTGTAGTCCAGGATGGATTTGAATTCACTGTGTTTCCCCAGATTAGCTTTGAACTCGAGATCTCCTGCCTCCACTCCCTGAATACTGGAATTACACATGCCTGCTACCACATCTGGCCATTGCTTGCTCTGAACCTGAATCTAAAGTTCTGGAATTAGTCTCAAGGTTTTATGTGCTCCAGGCAACCACTACTGAGCTCCATTGCAGCCCAAGTGCTGGGATCGTAAGAGAATGACCATAATTCTCTCTTATCCTTAGTTTTGTGTTCCCCCCTTCAGTTACCCGCTATCCATATCAAATGTAAATTCTAGAAATAACTCATGAGTTTTAGGTTGTGTGTCGTTATGTAACATAATGTCTTGTCTGGGATAGCATGTCCAGGGAGAGTATTCACTCTATTGCCCATCCATTGGTAATAGTAATCTCTGTGGTTAAGTCAGTATCAGCCTTTGTGTTACAGTAAGTGCAGAGGTGGTAACAGTAGCAACCCACCTGTGCCAGAGAGACGTTTTCAAGTGCTCTAAGCAAAGTGGAATTTTTAGTTTGGGAAGAAAAGCTGTAGGCTAGTTTAGTAACACGGACAGTCAACACAGACCACATCGCGGAAGTTTTACCACAATATGTTGTTACAACTTGTTTTTAATCTCCCTGCTTAATTATAAGTTAACCATCATTGGTTCGTACTCACTTTAGGAATCCTTGATTTCAGGTATTCATCTGGGCTCAGATTGTGTCCACCAAGGATAAGAGGGCAGGGCACCACTGTGCTCGGCTTACCTTTAAACAGATAATAAAATCACTTTGGGATCAGTGTAAAATTAAGTATTTTTTAAGCTCTCACAAAGAGCAAAGAAATAAAAGGGTATGTGTGTGCAGGGTAAGAACTGTAGAAATCAAGATTATAGACGTTTTTTAGGGAAGACAAACCTTTAAGTAAGAGTTGTTATAAACACAGTCCTTCACTTTTCTACTAAAAAGTAAAAAGTTTAAGTTGGATCTGCCTGCCTCTGCCTCTTTAATGCTGAGATTAAAGACAGGCACCACCACCACACCTGGCTTAAGATTATTAGTTTTGAAGGATATATTTTAATCCATAAAGGTTATGGGGGAAATACAAGATTGATGGTGACAGTTTCCCAGGAAGTACACCTGAGAAATTACACTTAAATCTTTGAGCACATAAATTTGCTGTTGAACAAAAATCAAACATCCATATCCCAAGTAATGCCATTTATAGAGAAGAATCTGTGTCTTGATTAATCTCTAGTCCTCCACCATGCATCCCCCATGTGTAAACAGACAGCCTTTCTAGAGTAAAAACACAGAAATAATAACTCTACAGTTTCTTCCAAACCTTTATTTTTTAAAAAGATTTTGATTCTGAGTGATTTGTATATGTGGTGTGTGGGTCTTGTTTGTGGTTTATGTACATGAGTGCAGTCCCCACAGCGGCCAGAAGAGGGTGCCACACACCCCGGGGTAGAGTTGCAGGTCCTGGGAGCCACTTCCCATGGGCATTAGGAGCTGAACTCTGGTCCTCCACTTATTTCTTTCTGTTCCCCAGTCCTGGTACTTCTGCTTACGAGGCACATCTGTCAGCTGTAGGGTTGGAGGATGTAGCTATGGAAACTTTATTTTAAAGCTTCTTGCGGCTCCCAAAGATGCCCTACTGGTAAATTATTTTCACTGAGGGAAAAGAGTGTGTGGCTACAGAACTCTTTCTTCCTTTATGGACCCTTGGGCTTGAAATAAACATCGAATGGTTAGATAAAGAAGCAGGACAAGGGTTAAGTCACCTGTTCTGGGACACAAGTGGCAGTCAGACTTCAGCTCTTTTCAACTGAGTAGACTAAGGTCCTACCACATGAGCCTGGTAATAAATGAAATGTGTACAGTGGAATTCAGCAGTTTATTTGTGTGTGGAAGAGTAAAATACACACCGACTGCTGTTTCCTTACAGAAGCCATGCTGCCGTGAAGACGCAGGTCCAGCTTTCACGTGAACACAGCGGGCGCTGTTATAATTTAGTGCTCCAAGGGAAGGCCGTCAGAGAACACAACAGGGCGTTTCTGAGGCCGGCAGAATGTGGGAACCTGAACTTGAAACCTGAGCCACTGCCTGAAGGTAATAACGTTTTTAAAACTTTGTTCCTCCAAGGACAGGCGCCAGAACTACACAGAGAAACCCTGTCTCAAAAAACCAAAACCAAAACCAAACCAAACCAAAACAACAAACAAACAAAAAACAACATTTTGTTTCTTTAAAATTAATCTGTTGTCTTTTTGTTTTTTGATTTTTTATGTTTTAACAAAGCAAATTACCAAATCCACCCCCCATTCCCACCGCCTCCATTCCAGTTCTCACCCCATTCCATCCCCTTCATTCCAGTTCTCACCCCATTCCCATCCCCTCCATTCCAGTTCTCACCCCCGCCTTTTTTAACCCACTGCGTCATCTTAGTGCCGTGGTGTGTATGCTGTGGGGATGAGTACAGGCCATCTACTGGAGCATGAGTAACATCTCAAGGTCAAACCCCTGCAGGACAGTAACTCCCTCCCACAGGACCCATCAGTTGCAACTGTTCCCAGTTGTGGGTGGAACTTCCTGACTCACTTCCTTCCGTTCCTGGACTTTGTGTAGCTTAATCTTGTGCAGGTCTTCATGTATGCAGTCATAGCTGCTTTCAATTTATGTACGGACTGCCTGTCTATCTGACAGAGGCTGATGTCTGGACTATACAGATGACTCAAGAAACTAAACACCAAAAATAAATAAATATTTGTTTAAAACCCCAAATGATCCAATTAAAAAGTCTTGGAGTGGAACTAAACAGAGAGGTCATAAGAGAAAAAGTACAAATTGCTAGGTTTTTTTTTTTTTGTTTGTTTTTTTTTTAATGTTCAACAAGCATCCTTCACCATCAGGGAAATTCAAATTAAATTAAAACTACGGCTAAAATCAAAGCAAACAAATGTTGGCAGAGATACAGAAAAAGGAGGAAGATTATTTGTTTATTGAGATTATTTGTTTGTCTGGTGTTCAAATCTTTGAAAAATGGGTGTCCATGGCTTAAAGATTTAAGAACACTCTCTGAGTTCATTGAAACCTAGTAACTATAAGGAAAAGTTCTAGATGGATGAAGGAAGGTATCAGCCATATTTTATCAATACATCCAAAGCTGTAATAAGAATATCTATTTACCAGGTGGTGGTGGCACACACCTTTAATTCCAGCACTCAGGAGACAGAGGCAGGCAGATCTCTGTGAGTTCGAGGCCAGCCTGGTCTACAGAGCAAGAGCCAGAACAGACAGTGCTACACAGAGAAACCCTGTTACAAAAAACCAGGGGAAAAAAAAAATCTGTTCTATCTGTGGCCACAATGACCTTAACATGGACACCAGATACTCTAAGTTGAAAACTATTCCAAAGAATCAGATTCAGAATGCAAAGGGATGGTATAGCAGATGTATTTTGCATATAGTTTTCTTTTTATAAATGTGTGAGTTTTATGTAATAAAAATCCATTTAAATTTAAAAGACTTTCAGTAAGTATGGAATAGAAGCTGTAAGTTCATGGTTTCTTACTGGTTTTCTTTCTTAGTGGTAATTGGATTAATTGAATTTAGTGATGCGGGGGCTTTATTAGACTGATTATTTTTATCTCATGTGTGGGTGTTTTGCCTGCATGTGTATCTGTGCATCATGTGTGTAGAGTGCCTGAGAAGCCAGAGGAGTGTTGTGTCCTCTGGAGCCAGAGTTACAGACTGTTGTGAGCTGCCATGTGGGAGCTGGGAACCAAACCTGGGTCAAGCAGAGCAACAAGTGCTGAGCCGCTTCTTCAGCCCAGTATCAGAGACTTGAATAATTAAGTTTGTCATTTATTTACTGACATATTTAGTGTGTTCACATGCACATATGTGTGTGCACATGCGTGTGCTCATTCAAGCACACACCACTGTGCACATGTGGAGGCCAGGGAACAACACTTGCAGGACTTGGCTCTCTCCGTCCACCATCCGGGTTCCAGAAATCAAGCGTGAATCATCAGGCCTGGCAGCAGGCACCTTTATACCCACCGAGCCGGCTCAGAAGTCCAGTCAGAGGACTTTTTAAATTAGACATTGCTGAGTTTGTTCGCTGTGATTTCCTCTGGGAGTTTGGCATTCGTGTGTCCATGATTTTTTTTTTTTTTTTCCGTTCAGGGATGGTGAGGCCAACAGATGAAGAAAAGATAGCCTGTTATTCCCAGGTCTCAGAAGGAGCGAGGCATGGTGCGCTATGAAGAGCCACACAAGGAACGCACCGCCAAGGTTGGTGCCAGGTAGACGGGGCAGAAGCCGCAGAAGAGCCTCGCGCTGGCTTTCAGAGAGAGAGTGGGCAAAGAGGCCTATGCCGGCTAAGCTGGCTCCCGTCAGAAACTGAATGAACTCGCTGGACTCTGGGTGTATTGGCTGATCGCTGGCCTTGGGGTGGTTGAAGCTGGGGAACGATGCCCCAGAGGGTCAGAGCTCATAATGAAGGTGGCTACAGGAGCCTCGTCTTTGGGCTTGTTTTCATAGGCAGGGTGGTTTGGTGGGAACATCTTTTATATCTCTAGGAATTGATTAGTCTGGATCAGAGCAGTCCTGCCCTGGTCAGTGGGACTCCAAAGATGCCAAAGGGTCATAACAAAAGCTAGAAACCATGATTAATATAACAATTAAAACTAGTTCTCTTTCCCTATAGAATGAATTAGGAGTAATCTCTCTTTACTTTCAACGAGTTTAAGCAAGATGATAGTTACTTGGTTTCTAAAAATTTTCTTATAAAATGTCTTACCTGGATATTCATTTTGTGGAAGATTTTTCACTTTCAGTGTTTTTAAACATGTATAGGACTGTGCAGCCATTATAGTTCTGGAGTTTGTTTGGTAAGCTTTCTTTTCTTCTAGGAACATGTCCATAATATCGTCACCTTAATGTCTACTTTAGTTAGTCTCTTCTTGTTTCTGATATTAATTTGTGCCTTTTTCCTCATTCTTTTAAAAAATAATTAATTTGGTTTTTCGAGACAGGGTTTCTCTGTGTAGCTTTGCACCTTTCCTGGCTCTCGCTCGGTAGCCCAGGCTGGCCTTGAACTCACAGAGATCCACCTGGCTCTGCCTCCCGAGTGCTGGGATTAAAGGCGTGCGCCACCACCGCTCTGCAAAATATTTATTTTTTAATTTTATGTGTACGGGTGTTTTGGCTACATGTATAATGTGTGTATCATGTGCATGCTTGGTGCCTGTGGAGGTCAGGGGCGGGCATTGCATCACCTGGAAGTGGAGTGACAGGCGGTTTGTGAGCTGACCTGTGGGTGCAGGGAACTGAACCCAGGTCCTCTGCAAGAGCAGCCAGGGCTCTTAACCACTGAGCCATCGCTCCGCCTCACTCTCGCTCTCTCTTTTCATTTTGTTTGTTTGTGTGTGTGTGTGTGTGTGTGTGTGTGTTTGTTTTGTTTTTGTTTTTTTTGAGACAGGGTTTCTCCGTATAGCCCTTGCTGTCCTGGAACTCAGTTCGTGGACCAGGCTGGTCTCAAACTCACAGAGATCCGCCTGCCGCTGCCTCTCAAGTGCTGGGATTAAAGGTGTGTGCCACCACCACCTGGCCGGTATATCTTTTTAAAATTAATTTTATTTTTAATTCTGTGTGTGTGTGTGTGTGTGTGTGTGTGTGTGTGTGTCTGTGTGTCTCTGTGTCTCTGTGTGTATAAAAACAATTGTACATTTGTGGTAGGTACCCTTGGAGACCAGAGGCATCAGATTCCTTGGAGTTTGTGTTATAGGTGGTCATAAGCCACCCAATGTGGATGCTGGGAATTAAAATCAGGTCCTCTGGAAGAATAGTACTCCCAATTACTGAGCCATCAATCTAGCCCCTATCAGCCTTTTTGTTTTAAGAATACTTACGAGGCTGGAGAGATGGCTCAGCGGTTAAGAGCACTGGCTGCTCTTCCGGGGGACCTGGGTTTAATTCCCATCACCCACATGGCCTCTCTGTAACTGTCTGTAACTCCTGTTCCAGGGGATCTGACACCATCATACAGACATATATGCTGGCAAAACACCAATATTCATAGAATAAAAACAGGAATACTTAAGACCTACCCTTAGCAGCTTTCAGATATCCCACACTGTAGTCACTGTCAGATATGATAGCTCTTTTGAACTTGTCTATACTGAAATATTTCGCATTTGCTTTCTGAGGGCCTAAACATTGCAATTTCATTCAGTTGTACCTGTGGCCTGATACTCCCTGTTCATGACGACACAAGGCTAGTACTTGAAGTCCTGGTTCTCTAATCATTCAGAGTAGAATGGGTTTTTATTGTTTGTTTTTTGTTTTTGTTTTTGGTACAGTGTAAACAAGGCAGAGTTTTCCTGTCCCGGCCACCCAGTCCCAAATAAACACACAGAGTTTATAGTAATGACAAAATGCTCAGCCGGTAACTCAGGCTTACTACTAATTAGCTCTTACATTTAAATGAACCCATTTCTATTAGTCTATGTATTGCCACATGGCTCGTGGTTTACCTGTCCTCCAGCATCTTGCTTGCTTCTTGGGTGTCTCTCTGACATTTCTCTTGACTCCGCCCTTCTTCATCCCAGTCCTCAGTTTGATTGTCCCGCCTAACTTTTTCCTGCCTTGCTATAGGCCAATCAACTTTATTATTAACCAATGAGAGTAATGCATATTCACAGTGTACAGAAGGATTATCCCACAGCAGTATGGGGTCTCATATAGCTGAATGTGGACCTGTCCATCTCAGAGAGCTTAGGTGTACACCACAGTTCCTGGCTGGAATGGAGGTCTAAGTATATCTAGTAAATCCAGTTTGCTCAGGGTTTTGCTTTTCCTTGTTTTCGTTTTTTTTTGTTTGTTTGTTTGTTTGCTTGATGTGAGGTAGGTATGATTAAGTCTTGTATTGTGATAGAGGCTTTGTCAGGTTGGCCCCAGATTCTATCCAGTTTTTATAACTTACTGAAGGGAAATTTCAAAATACATAGCAGCAGAATAGTGGCACAAAGCCAGCGTTAAAGCCATTTGTGAGCGCTCACATTATCATCTCAAGGCTGACCTTGTTTTATGTCTAGCTCTATCTAATCACACTCCTTTCTCTCAGACTTCGATCAATTTTTAAACAAATCCTGGTCATTTATTATGGCATGATGTGGTTTCATCCATGAATATTAATATTGCCATATCATCTTCATATCTAGAAAAGTTCCTTAGTATCATCAAAAATATCCAGTCCCTGTTCACAGTTTCTCATTTCCTGTCTCTGATTCATCATCTCCCTGTCACATCCTTCCCAGTGCTGGGATAATAGGCATATTTCAGCACAACCTAGTAAAACTAACCATTGTAAAATCAACAACTCAGTGGCATTTGGAACACTTGTAGGGTATGGAAGGCTACCTCTGGTTTTACAGTATTTTCATACACACCCTACCTGTAATTTCCCTAAACTGTTCTTTTTATGGATTTACCTATACGAGATATTTTATCTAAATGGAACGATATATGTGACCTTTTGTGCCTAGCTTCTAACTTAGCATGGTTTTCAGTCTCATCAGTGTGGTAGCTTACCAGTATCCAATCTTTCTATGGCTCAATAATAATAATAATGTGGCTCCATTCTTTATAATTTTATGCTAAGTTTTGAAATTTAGAAGTGAGACCAGTTTTGTTCTTTTTCAATGTCATTTGGATTTTTAGAATCCCTTGAGATTTTTCCATATAAACTTGAGGATATTCTTTCAGTTGACAGATGCATGGAATCCTATAATAGGGGTTATACTGAATCTATAAATTGCTTTGAGTAATATTGGCATTACAACAGTATTTTCCATGACCTTAGTATAATTTTCCCACTTACTTAGGTTTTTGGTTTTAGTAATGTATTATGGGTTTACTGAATATAGACATTTCACCCCCATACTTAAATGTATTCCTATATATTCTTTCAGATGTTCACTTTCAGGTTTTGCTCATTTTTAGGAGAATATGGAATGGATTATTTTTGTTTGGTTATTGTTACTTTTTCTAAACTTCTAGATACAAAATAAAGTTTTGTTTTAGATCCACTTCCTATTTTTTTCTGTAGCAAAAGGTTCTTTTGCAGTACACAACCTCCTAACCCCTCTGTTACCATTAAAATATCTTGTTTTGTTTGTAAACTGCTTTGAAAATCTCTATTGTCAAGTGATACACAAAATTCAGAAAAGTAGACAATAAAATTGCTTTTCTGTAGCCTAATAGGTTAAGTAACTGTAAGTTATAGTTTTTGTTGAATTTTTATAATAAGTTAGATCAAGATACATGTGATTATTTAAAATCTTAAATGAGAAATCATTTAAATGTACCTTATAGCTATATATTTAAATTGGACTAATTTATTGTCTCATAAACTCATGCCAAAGACAATCATGGTACTAGATCTAAGTGCCTCAAAGTTTATATTATTCATAATTTTCCATTTCCAAGTTTGTCAAGCTAATATTGATAGTATGAGTGCTTAGTTTTGACTTTGAGCTAGGTCTCATTATGTAGCCCAGGCTGTCCTGGAACTCAGTCCTCCTGCTCTAGCCTACTGGTTATTGGGATTGTAGCATGTACAGCCATGCTCAGTTGGTGGATGAAGACAGAAAGAGCAGAAGGTTCAGGTTATCATTGTCTACTTCAGGAATTTTAACATTTATGCATTGATAATAAATTCCACTTCTTCCAGACATCCCCAGTCCTTGTCACCTTCATAATCCACTGAGTCCAGTGAGTGACTCATGAATGCATTTGGGCCACAACCCTGGAGAAGACTTACTCCCCATTGTCCAGGAACGATCAGTGACAGCAGTTCCCCAGCTAATGATGGAGTCTGGTGAGCCAGCCCCTCTTCCATCCAGGCCAGAACACTGACTAGCTTGATTTTTTTTTTTTTTTTTTTTTTTTTTTTTTTTTTTTGCTGATCACTGTAGCTGCTAGAAGTTCATAGGGCAACAATATTTCATAACACTCTTCCCCATCCCTGGCTCCTACATTCTTCTGTGCCTCTCTCTTTTCTTGATGTTTCTTGAGCCTTGGGGGTTAGGTAGGATGGTGTACTTATCCCATCTGGGGCTGAGCACTCAATAGGCACTAATTCTGAGTACTGTGACTGATACCCACCGTAGAAAGAGACTTTCCTGATGAGAATTGAGGTCAACGCAAGTCTCTGGCTAGAAACAAAAATATTTAGAAATCAGTTTGACATTTAGCAAAACAATGGCAAGTTTCCTTCTGGTGCCTATGACCTCCTTAGCCCTGGTCTGGGCTAGGTTTAGGGTACCAGACATAAATTCCTGCCTATGAAATGGGCCTCGGATCCAAATAGGAAGCTGTTGATTACCTCCATAGCAATCATGCCACTGATGTATCTGTGGGCACATTTAGTAGGTCACTATTTTAGCATGCAGTTACTACTACTGAGTAAGTCCATTGATGTCTCCCCTGTCGCACCCTGCGGCTGGAATAGCAGCCTCTAGTCCTGTGAAGCTAGCCTGTAGAGAGGAAGTTTTCAGGTCAATTCCGGATTCAGTTCTCTAGGCCCTACAACAAGTGTGTTGTGTCTTCAGCAGTAGGGCCTTAGAAAGTCATCCTTGATTGGTTACATAAATATGTCTAGTGCTTTCCTCTGAAGTTTTAACTTAATTTTTTTTTTTTTTTTTTTTTTTTTTTTTTTTTTTTTACTGTTAATTGTGTGTAGGGTGTGTGTGCATGTACCACTGAGTTTGTGTGGAGATCAGAGAGGACTTCTACCTGCTGGACTGTCTTGTCGGCCCCCATTTTACTCTTGTTTGTTTGTTTCCAGACAGGGTTTCTCTGTGTAGCCCTGGCTGTCCTGGAACTCACTTTGGAGACCAGGCTGGCCTCGAACTCACATAGATCCGCCTGCTTCTGCCTCCCAGATGCTGTGATTAATGGAATGCACCACACCACCACCGCCTGGCTCATTCTTTGTAGTTTCAGTTACCTATACTCAACTATGACTTGAAAATATTAAACAGGAAATTTTGGAATAACTTTTATTGTAGTATAATGCAATTGTTCTATTTTATTATTGTTTTTACTTATCTTTTACAGTGCTAATGCGCCTAGTATATAAATGCACATGGAGAATTTGGTTCTTTATGAGGTTTTACACATCTACTGGAGTATTTGGAATGTATCTTTTTTTTTAATTTATTTTTTCTTAACATTTATTTTACAGTGTTCTGTCTGCATATTTTGCCTGTATGCCAGAAGAGGGCATCAGATGTCATTATAGATGGTTGTTAGCCACCATGTGGTTGCTGGGAATTGAACTCAGGACCTCTGGAAGAACAGCCAGTGCTCTTAATCTCTGAGCCATCTCTCCAGCCCCTGGAATGTATCTTGTAGGACACATATTTCCATGCATGCATAATCCTCTCAGCATCAAGGCCTCTTTTCTAAAATTATGTGATGCTATGTGTTTAACATATCTCAAGGGACACATATTTCCATGTGTGTATAATCCCATTAGTACCAAGGCATCTTTTCTAAAATTACATAAGACTATATAAATTAACATGCCTAAAGGACACATATTCTCATACGTGCGTGGTCCCATTTATACCAAGACATCTTTTCAAAAAATGCTATATAGTTTATACCCAACCCATAAAATTAAACTTTTATTTGCATTAAATAATTGTGCAGTTAATGTAACATAACTTTATAACACAAATTCAGTTTTAATAAGCTAATAATATAGAATGTAATTAAGGACAGAATAAGGAAACTATGTAACCCTAATGTTTATTTTACCTTAAATGTATTCTGGTGCCTTGGCAAGTTAATTAATAAAAACAGTAATTTTCTATCTATAGAATGGAAACTGTTTTACCTAAATTGTGTAAGGTACCATAGTGTGGAAGATGAACATTTCCTTTAGGATTAACATCCCCATCAAAGTGTTAGTTGCACAGTTGACCAGATGTCTAATCTTTCAGCTGTTAACTAACAGGAAACAATGAAACCGAAGATGGAGGCAGCATGGACCAGTGTCCTTCACTAGGAGTCAGCCGCAGTGATGGCGGAGAGTCCCCAGGAGAAACTCGGGCACCTGAGGTAGGGATTCAGCTGGAAAGCTTTCTAACCTGAAGAAGAACAGCATGCCATTTAACAACTGTTCTTGCTTGAAGGATAGTTCTTTAATTCAGTGATCCGAGGTTTTTCATATGCCGGAAGTGGTAGTGTGCACTTGTTTTCCCAGACTCAGGAGGCACAGCACGGGACCAAGAGTTCAAAGTCAGGCCTGGGTGCATAGCTGAGAAAAAGGTTTTGATTACATATCTATCATATATTTAGTTTTTAACATAGAATTTTTAATAATGCTTAGATATAGCCCTAACATTTTGTACTCAATACATATATATTGAATTATATTTCATCAGTTCCAAATGCATTCTTGAGAAAATAAAGAGTTAAAACATAAAAATCAACACTTTCATTTAAGACAGCGGTTCTCAACCAGGATGAAATGACTCTTTCATAGGGATCTCCTAAGACCATCTGAAAACACAAATATTTATGATTCATAATAGTAGCAAAATTACAGTTATGATGATGCAATGAAAATACTGTTATGGTTGGGGTCACACAACAAGAGGAACTGAATGAAAGGGCTGCAGATTAGGAACTGTATGAAAGGGCTGCAGATTAGGAACTGTATGAAAGGGTGCAGATTAGGAACTGTATGAAAGGGTGCAGATTAGGAACTGAATGAAAGGGCTGCAGATTAGGAACTGGATGAAAGGGCTGCAGATTAGGAACTGTATGAAAGGGTGCAGATTAGGAACTGTATGAAAGGGTGCAGATTAGGAACTGTATGGAAGGGCTGCAGATTAGGAGGAGCACCGACTGAAGAAATACTTGGGCTGGAGTGCAGCTCAGTGGTAAGTTGTCTGCCTAGCCTGTGGAAGGTCCTGGATGCAGTACCTGGCACTGGAAATAGCCAGACTTGCCAGGCATAGTGGTAGGCATCTTTAATATCAGCACTCGGGAGGCAGAGGCAGGCAGATCTCGGAGTTTGAGGCTAGCCTGGTCTACAGAGTAATTTCCAGGACAGCCAGGGCTACACAGAGAAAACCTGTCTAAAAAACAAAACAAAATCTTATAGTAAAATGAATAATGAACTGAAATATAAATGTCTTTCTATGTTTATTGTACACAGTCTTAAAAAAAAACTGTAAAAGTAGGCTGAGCAGTGGTGGCACATGCCTTTAATCCCAGCACTCGGGAGGCAGAGACAGGTGATCTCTGTGAGTTCAAGGCCAGCCTGGTCTACAGAGGGAGTTCCACAGCCAGGGTAGTTACAAAGAGAAACCCTGTCATTCCCCCCCCCCCAAAAAAAAAAAAAAACTCTGTAAAAATCTGGTATATTTTACAAAGACTAATGTCATTTAATTTCTTTATTTATTGACTTTTCAAAAGCATCTGACCTGTATGGACTCTGGGGATTCTTCCTTTGGACAGAATGATTCCCCTACTGTTTTGCCCATTCCTGCTGCTGAAACAGATGAGTCACTCACATCCCAGGACATGCCAGAGACACTGCCCGAGGCACAGACCCTTCATGCGGAGCAGTTTCGTCTTTTGGACCCAAATGGGCAGCCTGTTCAATATGACCTTCAGCCACTGGGAGATTCTAACGCACAAATGGTGGGTGTATTTTATAACTAATGAGCGTTAGGCTGTTACGGGATTTAGCAATATGTATTAACCATACTAAATGACCTTAGTTTCTTGATACTATTGACTTATACATTATATTGGAAATATAGGTATTTTTTTTTCCTTTTAGGAGCACAAAGACTACCAAAGCAGTCCTTGCTGCTCATGTCAAGTACACTGGTACTTGTGATAAGGCAGATGTGATTTACAGCTAGTGTTTATATACTAAAGTTTACTTGTAAGTTACTTTTTGTTTTTGAGACAAGGTTTCATATAGCCCAAACTGT